ACTCAAACCCCAGTCTCCATCCCCCACTGTCCAGTCCCTTATTCCTGTCTTTTCTCAACCTAGTCCCTTCTAACCTCCCACTCTAAAGCTACCCAACCCTTCCAATGTGCTGTCTGGAACACCTCCTCCATAGGTGACAATTTCTTCTTAAATCTTTTCCATTCTTGCTCCCTTCATCTTCTTGAACTCACTGAGACCTGGTTTCTTCCTGATTTGCTGGCTAGCCTTTCCAGCACAGCTTGCACTTTCACTCACCCCTGACTCATTGGTGGAGGTGGGGGAATGGATTACTCTTTGTTCTCCATTGACATTTCCAGATTCTCTCTGTCACCAACACTCAGAAATTTCTATTTCTCCTTTGAGGTTCACAAGATCTATATTTATCACCCAACCATGACTTTGGTAACTACTGTCTAAAGATCTCCAGGACACTCTCCTACCTTCCCCAATGAGTACCTAGCTCAGGTAGTCTTTCCTCCCTAACACTCCCAGATTCACACAAAAGAAATTCAATATATATACTGCCATTCTTTCAAATCCCTAACCTCCCAATTCTTCAACTTACTCATTTCCCTGTGACCTACTCCTCCATCCCACCACAACTACACACAGAGATAGTCATGCCTTGATCACCCACAGTGTTCCACAGCCATGCTCATGAACTCTGAACTTCCTTTATCTGATCAGAATTTTTGGTCACTCCACTTCTCCCTCTGACTTGCAAGTACAAATCCTGTTCTTTGTCTACATTACAATCTCAATCCCTCCACACCTCAGTTCTTTTCCAGGCCATCATCTTTGCATTGGTTACACTGGCTTTGCTTCCCCATCTTGACCCCATGGTGAACTAGTTCAACTCTACACTGTCCTCAAATCCTTTGCCTTTTTATGCAAGACTTTGTCCCTGCCGAACCCTACTTTGGATTACCGCCACTATGCACATCGCTCCTACTTAGGAGCTGCTGAAAAACTAAAGAAAATCATGAAAGTGTGTTGACCAGATCTACATGTTAAGGAATCTCAACCGGGCCCTCACTGTGGCAAAGCAATCCTTTCACACCTCTTTAATCGATTCACACTCACAACCATGGCTTTTCCAAGCTTTTTCATCCCTTCTAAAATCTCCTAAAGCTCCCCAAAACACCCACTCCCTCAACTAAGAATCTTGCCTATTTCACTGAAATAAGCACTAAGCACTTCTTTTTCCCTCCTCATATTAAATGCCTTCTGCCACTATTTCCACCAGCGATACACATGGACAGGTAGTCCTTCTTGTCAAGGCAAACTCCTCCACATGCACATCATCCTATTTCCTATTAGACTTCCACCTCTATTGACCCTATAGTCTAATTCTTCATTGTAATGACTGCACTTCCCTGCTGCCTACAAAAAATGTTCCCATCTCCCCCATTCTCAAAAAACTCACTCTGTCCACCCCTACTAGCTATCATCCTATTTCACTTTCCCTTTTGTGGCTAAACTTGAGAATGTCTTCCTCCCACTCTCTTTAATCTTTGCAGTATGGCTTTGAACCTATCACTCAGCTGAAATCGTTCCCTCTCCATGGTCAGTCATGATCTCTTAGTTACACAACCTAATGGTCTTTTTCTCAATCGTTATCCTTCTCCAGTCTTCCTGATCTATATCTGGCCATTGGCTCTGGAAGAAGAGAGTGAGAGGGGCAGCTAGGTGGCACAGTGGATAGAGCACCAGCCCTGAAGTCAGGAGGACCTGAGTTCAAATCCAGCCTCAGACCAAACACTTGACACTTATTAGCTGTGTGACCCTGGGCAAGCCACTTAACCCCAATTGCCTTAAAAAAGAAGAAGAGAGGCCGGTGACTCTGTACAGCCCTCCCTCACTTAAATCCAATTCACTTGCAAGTCATGGCATCACCTTCCTGATGTCATGGTCCTCTTTGAGGACAACAGACAACAATCCTTCTGAATCTCACTACAGCCTCTGACACTATCAATCACCCTCTTCTCTTTTAGGTTTTTGGGACCCTGCTCTCTCCTGGTTTTCCTTCTATCTGCTGCTTCTTCACAGTTTCCTTTGCTGGATCTTAGTTTTCAGTCAAGCCTGCTAAGTGTGGATGTCCCCCAAGGCTCTGTCCTGGGCCCTCTTCTATTTCACTTGATGAACTCATCAACTCCCATGGTTTCAATTATCTCTATGCAGATGACTTCCAGATCTGCTCTCCCAGCTATCTAGTGGGAAACCTTCAGCTTTGAGACCACATGTGGCCCTCTAGGTCTTCAAGTGTGTCCCTTTAGTTAAGGAGATTCGTTCTGTGAAATTTGGATTCAAGGGGCTGCAGGTTCCCCATGCTGACATCGCAATCTAGACGTACCACAGCCAGCTGAAATTCAACATGTCTAAAACTGAACTCATCTTTTCCCCAAAGTCTCCCCTCTTCCTTACTCTCATATATAACCTCCCTTTCCCCACCTTCCCCTTTCACTCCTGACACCATAACTCTCTCTGGGGCAGGCCCTCATTACCTCATTCTTGGACTACTGCAATAGCCAGCTGCCTGAGCTCCCTGCTTCAAAAATCTCACCACTCCAATCCATCCTCCACTCTGCTGACAAAATATTCCTAAAGCACAGATCTGACCATATTATCTTACCCCCCCATGATCAAAAAGCTCCAGTGGTTCCCTATTACCTCCAAGATCAAATAAAAAATCCTCTTGCTGTTAGAGCTCTTCATAATCTGGCCCTTTCCTACTTTTCCAGTCTTCTTCTGACTTTTTTTGCTTTTTTGCTGAGGCAATCAGGATTAAGTGACTTGCCCAGGGCCACACAACTAGCGAGTGTAGTGTCCGAGACTGGATTTGAACTCAGGTCCTAATGAATCCAGGGCCAGTGCTCTACCCACTGTGCCACCTGCCCCCTTTCCAGTCTTCTTATCCCTTCCTACCCTTCCACATAACCTGTGATCCAGTGACACTGGCCTCCTGGCTGGATCCCCCACTTCTCAAGTCACAGCTGCCCCCATACCTAGAATGCTTTTCCTCATCTCTGCCACCTAGCTTCCCTGGTTTTCTTTCACATCTCAGTTGAAGTCCCACCTTTCCTGGCCCTCCCTTAATGCTTCCTCTCCTCTGAAATTACCCCCAACTTATCCTGTATATACCATGTGTGTACAGCTGTTTGCATGGTGTCTCCATTATTAGACTAAACTGTGAATGTAAGGACAGGCCCCTCTTTGTATCCCCAGCCCTCAGCACGGTGCCTGGCCCATTGCATGCCACTAATAAATACTAGCTGATTGAGAAGTAGTCAGACTGTATCTTTTATTTGACTATTTCATCTTCTCTTCCTCTTGTATACTCATTTATTTCCCATTTTAACCCAAAACAAAGGTTGCTTAATAAACACATCCTTCCAAAGAGCTTTTAAAACAGGCACCTTGGGATGCATTTCAAATCTTTTCATTGTTAAGGGTATCAGATGTTTACTTTCCCACCCCAGAAACAACACGATATGAAAACAAACACAAAAACCAGATTTATTCAGTCATTTCAATAAAAGATAAATCCTATAAATCAGGACCACCAGTATTTCAACCACCATATCTGAATGAGTCAAGCAATCAACCTCTTACAACTGTTCTTGGGCTACCTTAAATCACAGGGCAACACCTCATTCTATTTCACAGTGGTGAACCCTCCATTCAGAGGGTCACATTTTTAGACTGGATTCATTCACTCACAAAAGAAAAGCAGCTACAGAGAGAGAAAAGGAACTAAGCCACCTCTGGCAAGGGAATCGCTGCTATTATTACAACAGGCTCCGGAGGGGCCATTAGAAGTCTGCATGTCCTTCCTCTAAACCCTCCCACCCTCATTTTCTATCACATACAAACATCCCGATAGAGGAACCCCAAAGGAGGGCTCGAAAACTAGACAGAAAGGGGAGAGACGCTAGGAGGGTCACAGTGGAAGAAAAGGAAACATAAGCGAGCGCTTTTTTCCTAACAGTTTCTAGGAAATCTTGATCCCTGGCCAAGAGCTGTAGCCAACAGCAGGAGGAGCTCTAAAAAGGAGTATGTGCTGAGAGCACGCATTCACCATCCCCTCCACACTAGTAGGCACAGCATGCATGTCCTCAGGAGACACCCAGCAGTTGCAAAACACAGGGGCTCCGCTTGGAGTACAAGCCGAAGGAGCCAGGATACAGTTACTCTCCTGCCAGGAGAGTCACAACATAGCTTGTGGGAAACAGTGACCTTGAAGGAAATAGACTGGAAGGTCAGATTCTCAAAAGCCTTTTCAGACTGCAAGGAGCATTTAACGTCAACTATTTCCCACCCCCACTTGGTAAATTCCACCCTGTCTTCTGCTCTCATTCCCTCCCTGGGAAAAGCCAACTGCCCATTCACAACAGAAAATGGGATAGGTCCCACTCAACCCATCCAGCCCCAAAATTATTCTCCATCCAATATTTCTTCCCAATGCAACTGTAGCACCATTTGCCTTAAGCATTTCCCAAAATAAAAAAAAAATTACGCACATAACAGTTTTCAAGTGTTATCATATAAAAACCCCTCTTTTGAACCCATCGGATCCCCATACTTTTAGTCCAATCACTGGACTCAGAGGGAAAAATTAGGCCCAGGCAATGAAAGTAATAGCTGCCATATTAGTTTATCTCAAACTGATTTGGGTATTTGCCCTCAGGCCCCTTGAGGCCTACCGTAATATCCAAGGTAAATCACCCAGACCCCACCCCATCAACTTTCTAATACCCCTTTTCCTTCCCTCCCCAATCTCTAAAGCTGTGGGTTCCTTGTTTGCCTCCAATTAAGCAGAAGGCCCCTTTTCTCTGCCTCCCCACCCATTCCCCGGGACCCCAAGTTCGTTCATGTCAGTCTCTGGAGCGGCAGGCCCAGGGTATCAGCCGACTCTCTTCTTCTTGCCCCTTAGCCTGCTGGGTTCACTAGCTGCTGGAGACCAAGATGCCTTCAGCCGGTTTGTACCCCAGGTTTTGCAGTTAGAGCAGACTGGTCGTCGAGGACTGCAGGGAGATAGAGTCCCTCCCGCCCCAGTCGCTCCCGCCCCCGGAGGCAAAGACGCAGGAGGGGCCGGCGCTGGGGGCAGCGGGGGCCACGGAGCCAGCAACCACGGCCACAGCTCTCCGAAGTCTTCGCACGGCCTCTTTGATGAGGTTCCCCGAGAGGACAAGCTGCTGCAGAAACTGGTGGGGGTCATCCTCTCCGGCCCGGAGTCCCGGCTGCCCTCGGTACCGGTACTGATGGTGCTGGTGCTGGTGCTGCTGCTGCTGCAGGCGCCGGGAGGCGGCGGCGCCCCGAAGCCAGGCGCGCCGGCACGGGCCAGGCAGCGGCTGCGGGAAGCCCCGCTTGCAGACGTGCGGACCGCAGGCGCCGCTGCGGGCCGGGGCCCCCTCTGGGGCGCAGGGACCCGACGGCGCCCGCGGCGGAGGCTGCGAGGTGGCGCCCACGTCGCTCGCCCACGACAGGGCAGCGCGGGTCCCGTTCCCCGCGCACTGCAGCGGTCCCGAGGGCTGCAGGGCCGCCGGAGCCGGCCCCGGAGGCAGCAGCAGCTGCAGCACCGGGGGTCGCAGCGGCGGCGGCGACTGCTGCTTGAACGTCAGGGGCCCCCGCGGGGCGGGCCGGCTCCCGTGCGCCGCGTCCAGCTGCAGCGCCTCCCCGATCTGGGCCACCAGCCGGTCCACGTCCCCCGAGCCCCCGACAGTCACCGACTGCTGCAGCAGGAGGAAGCTCTCTTCTTCTCCCTCCCCCTCCCTCGGCGTCCTCCTCCTCCTCTCCAGCCGCCGCCGCCTCGTCGTCCTCGTCCTCCTCCTCCCTCCGGCACGGCATGGTCTCGGTTCGCAGCCCGGACTCCGGAGCTCCGCCGCCGCCGCCGCTTCTCGGGCTGCTCCTCGCTCCCGGCCGGGCTCCGGAAACAGCTCCCGAAGACAAGGCGTCGCAGTCTCGGACCAAGCCGGCTGTGTGCGGGGTTACCGAGCGCGCTGCCGCCGCCGCCGCCGCAGCTCCGGGAGCTGGAGCTCAGCCGGTTCAGTTCGATTTGTAAACAATGGGTGACGCGGAGCGTTCGGGCGCTACCACTGCCGCGGGGCGGGGGGACGCGGGGATGGTCGAGCTGGGCGGCCTGGAAGGATCCCGGGAGGGCAAGCTGCGGGAGCTCCGCCGAGCGTGGATGCGGGACTGTCCGTTTACTCCAGCCGCCTGGCCCTGGGATATGGACACTTCACGTGCGCTAGCCTGGGCAGCTCCAGACCCGCCGCTTTCATTCCACCCCCACAAGTTTGCTCTGGTTGGACTTGCCCTGCCCCTCCCCCAGGAGCTCTTAGCTTGGGGTGGGTCGAGCTCTCTCTGGGTTTAGGGTGAATGGGTTTAATGATGGAGAATGGGGGAAATGCCTAATATTCAGTCTGGAAGAGACTGGGCAGGAGAAAAAGCAGGCCAGCAGAGCAGAGGGAGAAGGAGGAAAGAATGTGACGTTAGGAGAGGGGATGTTTACATCTTTTTTATATACTTACATGTGCACGTGTTGTCTCGGCCCTATAGAGTATAAGCTCCTTGAGGACAGCCACCTTCACTTTTTTGTCTTGGTATATCCCTAGTTAACTAGCTCGCGGGGATGGAGTCTGGGCCCATGATTTCATTGGTATAAGGAATACCTCGGTGAAGAAACTCCCTCGACTGAGGCAACTTGGCCCTTGCATAGTATTAAATGAGAATTTTCTGGAACGCGAAGGTGCATTTGGGCAGGGGCACGGTGCCAGCGTATGTCATTAGCTTCCTCCTGACTATGTCCCTCAGCCTGACACATAATAGTGGGTTAATAAATGTTTGCTGATTGGTTAGGGAAAGTGAAAGTGCAGAGGACACAATCTGATAATTATTAGAAACATTCCCTCTGATTTTTATAGGATCAGAGATTCAAAGCTGGAAGGGAGCTAGAGGTCATCTAGTCCAGACTTCTTATTTTACAGTTGAGGAAAACGAACCCCACAGAGCTAAAGTAGTCCCAGAGCAAGAAAGGAGTCTGTTTCCTGAATTGGGCATTGGGGGTAGAGATAGTGGGAGACAAGCAGGACTTGGGGAACAGGGAGGGAGAGCAAGGGTGGCTAGGACTAGATTAGGGGTGGAAGTGGAAGAATGTGCAGGCACTAGGTCACTGGATAGTAAACCAGTGAGTCAGTCAGCCAATAAGCATTTCTTAAATGTTTACTATGTGCCCGATCACTGCTACCAGTTACCTATTTGACCTTAGGCAAGTTATCTATTGTCTTTGGGCCTCAGTTTCTTCATTTGTGAAAAGGCTAGATTTGACTAGGTCACTAAAGTTCCATGATGGTCCAAAGATACTACATTGACATCAGGTAATGTATGGCCCTTCCATAGATTTATGCATACCACCCAGGTTTGCTTCAGTGATTCAGCTGAGGAAATAGGTACTCAATGTGTTATGAATGTGTCCTCTCATGTTTTGCCCATGGAGAGGAATTATTTTGGTTTTCTGTGTTTAGGATGGCAGCTAGGAAACCTTGCTTGGGGCGCTCCTAAAGGCTCAGCAGAGGTTCCCAAATACTGAGGTGTGTCATCCTTCATTCCTGGTACTTCTGGTTTGGGTGACTGATTCTTCTACTCTAATGACAAGTTTGCTGTAAATCTCCTAGTGCATTATATAGTGCCCCATTTCCCATAAAAGCTTGGAAGCCATTCCACTAAATGGGTAATTCTACTTTTTGTTGTTGTGGTTCTGGTTGCATTTATTAGAGGATTTCAAAGAGAATGGAAATTAATGGAAATCTTGGGGATTCTGGAAGAGTGAAAACAGTAGAATTTTTTTCCCCCATTCTGTGATGATTCCAGGCTATAAGTAGGAAAAAGTAGTTTTATGCTTCATTGATTTTGAACATTAATGTTGATGGTATCTCTAAAGGCTGTATCCCTATAGGTTGTTTTTGGCTTTCTGTCCCGGTGATCACGATCATGGACTTGGTACCAGAAGAATATAGCCTTTTAAGGTGTCATTTGTTTAAAAACCTTTCAAAGTAAAGGCACTTGGGTTGAATTCTTAAGTAAGTCAATCAAATCACTCATCCAAGTGATTGTTGATTAAACAAACACTAATTAAGTGAGAGAAGGTGGGATAAGTATTTATTAAGCACCTACCCGGTGACAAGCCCTGTGCTGAGGCTGTACAGATCTTATCTCAGTTAAGTACCTGTTATGATTAGGCTCTGTGCTTAAAGACAGAAGTAAAATGGTCTTTGAGCACAGGTATCTTATAATGGACCGTGAACATAACATTTGTGTACACACACACACACACACACACACACACACACACGACACCAGGTGATTTGGGAGTAAGGTGAGGTTAAAAGCCAGAAAAGGTTTGCTGTAGTCCTTTCCGATCGGCTGACGTGCCCGTGAGGAGGGCTGTGAGCAGCCACGGCGCCCAGCCGAAATGGCATGATTCTGAAGCCCCATTTCCACAAAGACTGGCAAAGACGAGTTGCCACATGGTTTAACCAGCCAGCCAGGAAGATCAGAAGGCGAAAGGCCCAGCAAGCAAAAGCACGTCGAATTGCTCCTCCCCCTGCCTCTGGTCCTATCCCGCCCATTGTGAGAGTACCTTACTGTCCGATACCACACCAAACAAAGTACTTGCTGGTAGAGGATTCAGCTTGGAAGAGCTCAGGGTGGCTGGTATCCATAAAAAAGTGGCACGGACCACCGGTATCTCTGTGGACCTTCGTTGAGGAAATAAGTCTACAGAGTCTCTCCAGGCAACTGTGCAGCGGCTGAAAGAATACTGTTCCAAACGGATCCTCTTCCCAAGGAAACCATCTGCACCCAAGAAGGGAGAGTGCTCTGCTGAAGAACTCAAGTTGGCAACCCAACTTAGGGACCAGTTATGCCCATCAGAAATGTCTACAAGAAAGAAAAAGCTCGAGTCATCACTGAAGACGAGAAGAATTTCAAGGCATTTGCTAGTGTTCGAATGGCCCGGGCCTATGCCCGTCTCTTTGGAATCTGGGCAAAACAAGCCAAGGAGGCTGCAGAGCAAGATGTGGAGAAGAAAAAGTGAACAGCCTTTGAGCACTCTCAATAAAATAATACAAAATAAAAAACAAAAAGGTTTGCCATAAAAATAGAAGGGGAAGGGGATAAGAGAAGGGGGAGGGGCGATAGAAGGGAGGGCAGATTAGGGCAAGGGGTATACAGAATGCACACCATCTTGGGTGGGGGGAGGGACGAGATGGGGACAGAATTTGGAACTCAAAATCTTGTGGAACTGAATGTTGAAAACTAAAAATTAACAAATTAATTTAAAAAAAAGAATGAAGAATAAGCAACAACAACAAAAAGGGGTTCCTCTAGAAGGTGGTGTTGCTGGAGCTGAGGCTTAAAGACTGGAGATTGAAAGCCAGAGGCCATTGTAGGGATGGATCCCCTCAAGGGCAAAGGCATGCAGATGGACAATGGAATGTTCTATATGAACAACAAAGAAGCCATTTTGGCTGGACCATAGTATGCACAGAGGGGAGTAACATATCATAAGGAAGGAAAGGTAGGTTGTGGTAAATACACAAAGCCAAAGATTGCATCAACAAAGTGGGTCTGGCCAAAAGGCTACCTTTGTCATTATTGTCCCATTATCATCCATCAGTTTCATTGCTCAGCTTCAAGCACTGAGCAAGGTAAGGTCACAGACCCATTGTAAACATAGATTTCTGTTGTTCACTCTCTCTTTGTGGTCTGACTGGACTTTTCAGTATGATACCTCTTAATGTTAATGAAGTTTGGTCTTAGTAATAAGTAACAGGATCAAAGAATCATGGCTCCAGAACTAGAAGGGACCCTCTAATTGTTCAGTTTTTTCAATCCTGTCCGACTCTTTGTGACCCCATTTGGGGTTTTCTTGGCAAAGATACAGGAGTGGTTTGCCATTTCCTTCTCTAGCTCATTTTACAGCTGAGGAAACTGAGGCAAACAGGGTTAAGTGACTTGCCCAGAGTCATATAGCTAGCAAGTGTCTGTGACTGGATTTAAACTCAGGACTTCCTGACTCTAAGTCTGGCACTGTATGCACTAAGAAACCTAGCTGCCCAGAATAGATTTCAGAGGCCATCCGGTCTAACACCCTAAATGTAATAATTTATGTCTATACAATGTATTACGGTTTATAAAATTCTTCTCAACAATCCTGTGATTATTGTATAGTACAAAATATTATTTCTGTTTTGCAGATGAAGAAACTGAGGTTCAGATGAATAGACTAGCCCAGGGGCACAGAGTGACACAGATTGAATGGATTCTATAGGGAGGAGAAAGGGCATGGACACGGGGGTGGGGACTGAATCAGTCAAGGGGCCACACTTGAGGATCTAGAGGACCACGAACACATGGCTTCAAGGCCTCAGGTTCCCCACCCCAGATTAGAAGGATCACAGTTGGCCCACTTCTCTTCTGCCTCCATACTATTTCACTTATCGATCTCATTAGCTTTCATGGTTTCAATGATCATCTCTATCCAGATGACTCTCATATCTATCTGTCCAGCTCTGACCACTCTCCCAACCTCTAGGCTTATATCAGCTGCCTTTTTGACATCTTGAACTGGATTCCCATGGACAATTTAAACTCAACATATCCCAAACTGAATTCATTACATATTCCCCTAAATGGTTGTCTCTTCCTAACTTCTGTTATACTGTTGAGGATATCCCCAATCCTCCCAGTCACCTAGGCTAACAAAGTGTCATCCTCAACTCCTCTCTCTCATCCATCATATTGTATCAATGGTTAATTCCTTTCATTTCCACCTTTATATATCTTTA